ATCAAAAATCAGTTTGGAAGGATCTTTTCTTTCAGCAAGTGGCAAAAAAAGCAAACCTGTGTGAGGTTCTGTTTTGCATTTTTTCTTCAGTGTTTCATAGCTAGTGTCCCTTTCACTGTCTGGATCAAGATAACACACAGGATTTTTGTCCAGTTCACGACAGATGTCTTGATCTAAAATGTTACGTTTTATAGCAGTGGATCTAGGAAGGAAAACGCTGAGGTTGGGATCTAAAATACCCCCTGCAGATTCTTGGGACTGTAACAAACCTATTCCAGTCTTTTTGTCAATTATTCCCTTCTTCATTGCTTCAAACACAGAAAGGGGTTGACCAGTGCGAGGATCTGGATAGCCCACAGCAGCAGCTTCAGCTGCTAACAGTTTATCTTGATCACATTTATCTACCACTCCACTTGCACATGCTTCTTTTACAGTTAGTTTTTGATTGTATGTGGGGTCAATGATGTGACCTGTCGCAACCTGAGCTTCTAACAGTTTATCTGCACTCTCTGGAATCAAAAGCATCTGTTTCTTAGCATCTGATAAAGACATTTTTCCTGATGGTCCAGCTGTCACTCCAGCAATTGATCCAGTTCCCTTTAGGAAGGTCTTTTTATCTAGAGACACCTCTTGGACAGTTTTTTCACCTTTAATCAGCTGGGTATATGTTTGTTTGTCAAGAACACCACACTCCAGCAACTGCTGTGCAGACACTTGCTTGCGAACACCATCAAACAATAATTTAGAAGGATCTTTCCCATCTGAAAGGGGCAAAAGAAGGAGACCTGTGTGAGGCTCTGTTTTGCTTTTCTTCTTCAAGTTTCCATAGGTAGAGTCTCGTTCAGTGTCAGGATTAACATAACACTCAGGATTCTTGTCCAATTCACGACAGACGTCTTGATCTAAAATGTTACGCTTTTTAGCAGTGTCTCTAGTGAGAAAAACACTGAGGTTTGGATCTAGAATTCCCCCTGCAGACTCTTGGGCTTGTAGCAAACTTATTCCAGTCTTTTTGTCAATTATTCCCTTCTTCATTGCTTCAAAGACAGAAAGAGGTTGACCAGTGCGAGGATCTGGATAGCCAACTGCAGCTGCTTCAGCTGCTAAAAGTTTATTTCTGTCACTGTTGTCTATCACACCTTTTGCACATGCTTCTTCCACGGTTAGTTTCTGATTCGATGTCGGGTCAATGATGTGACCTGTGGCAGCCTGAGCTTCTAGTAATTTATCTGCACTTTCTGGAGATATAAGCATCTGTTTCTTAGCATCTGATACAGATATTTTGCCCAAAGTTCCTGCTATCACTCCAGCAATTGTTCCAGTTCCTTTCAGAAACATCTTTCTATCCACAGCCACCTCTGCAACAGTTTTTTCTCCTTTAACCAACTGATTAAATGTTGGTTTGTCCAGGACCTCACAGTCAAGTAGTTGCTTTGCTGTCACCGGCTTACGTACACCATCAAAAATCAGTTTGGAAGGATCTTTTCTTTCAGCAAGTGGCAAAAGAAGCAGACCTGTGTGAGGTTCTGTTTTGCATTTTTTCTTCAATGTTCCATAGCTAGCATCACGTTCAGTGTCTGGATCAAGGTAACACATAGGATTCTTGTCCAGTTCACGACATATGTCTTCATCTAAAAGGTTACGTTTTATAGCAGTGTCTCTAGGAAGGAAAACACTGAGGTTGGGATCTAGAATACCCCCTGCAGACTCTTGGGCCTGTAGCAAACCTATTCCAGTCTTTTTATCAATTATTCCCTTCTTCATTGCTTCAAACACAGAAAGGGGTTGACCAGTGCGAGGATCTGGATAGCCCACAGCAGCGGCTTCAGCTGCTAACAGTTTATCTTGATCCCATTTATCCACCACTCCACTTGCACTTGCTTCTTTGACAGTTAGTTTTTGATTGTATGTGGGGTCAATTATGTGACCTATCGCAGCCTGAGCTTCTAGCAGTTTATCTGCACTATCAGGAGACAAAAGCATCTGTTTCTTGGCATCTGATAAAGACATTTTGCCTGATAGTCCTGCTGTCACTCCAGAAATTGGTCCAGTTCCCTTTAGGAATATCTTTTTATCCACAGACACCTCTGCAACAGTTTTTGCTCCTTTAATGAGCTGGGTATATGTTGGTTTGTCAAGAACACTACATTCCAGCAACTGCTGTGCAGACACTGGCTTCCGTACACCATCAAACAATAATTTGGAAGGATCTTTCCCATCTACAAGTGGCAAAAGAAGAAGACCTGTGTGAGGCTCTGTTTTGCTTTTCTTCTTCAAGTTTCCATAGCTAGAGTCTTGTTCAGTGTCTGGATCAAGGTAACAATCGGGATTTTTGTCCAATTCATTACAGATGTCTTGATCTAAAATGTTACGTTTTTTTGCAGTGTCTCTAGGGAGGAAAACACTTAGGTTTGGGTCTAGAATCCCCCCTGCAGACTCTTGGGCCTGTAGCAAACCTATGCCAGTCTTTTTGTCAATTATTCCTTTCTTCATTGCTTCAAACACAGAAAGAGGTTGACCAGTGCGAGGATCTGGATAGCCAACTGCAGCTGCTTCAGCCGCTAACAGTTTATTTCTGTCCCCTTTGTCCACCAATCCTTTTGCACATGCTTCTTCCACAGTTAGTTTTTGATTTGATGTGGGGTCAATGATATGACCTGTGGCAGCCTGAGCTTCCAGCAGTTTATCTGCACTTTCTGGAGACATAAGCATTTGTTTCTTAGCATCTGATAAAGATATTTTGCCCAAAGCTCCTTCTGTCACTCCAGCAATTGGTCCATTTCCTTTAAGGAAGATCTTTCTATCCACAGACACCTCTGCAACAGTTTTTTCTCCTCTAATCAACTGATTAAATGTTGGTTTGTCCAAGACCTCACAGTCAAGTAGTTGCTTTGCTGTCACCGGTTTGCGTACACCATCAAAAATCAGTTTGGATGGATCTCTTCTTTTAGCAAGTGGCAAAAGATGTAAACCTGTGTGAGGTTCTGTTTTGCACTTTTTCTTTAAATTTCCATAGCTGGCATCCTCCTCTGTGTCTGGATCAATGTAGTACTCAGGCTCCTTGTCCAGTTCACGACAGATGTCTTGATCTAAAATGTTACGTTTTTTAGCAGTATCTCTAGGGAGGAAAACACTGAGGTTTGGATCTAGTATACCTCCTGCAGACTCTTGTGCCTGTAGTAAACGTATTCCAGTCTTTTTGTCAATTATTCCCTTCTTCATTGCTTCAAACACAGAGAGCGGTTGACCATTTTGAGGATCTGGATAGCCAACTGCAGCTGCTTCGGCTGCTAACAGTTTATCTTTATCACATTTATCCACCACTCCTTTTGCACATGCTTCTTCCACAGTTAGTTTCTGATTTGATGTGGGGATAATTATATGACCTGTGGCAGCTTGAGCTTCTAACAGTTTATCTGCACTTTCTGGAGACATAAGCATCTGTTTCTTAGCATCTGATAAAGTTGTTTTACCTGATGGTCCAGCTGCCACTCCAGCTATTGGTCCATTTCCCTTTAGGAAGGTCTTTTTATCCACAGACACCTCTTGGATAGTTTTTTCACCTTTAATCAGCTGGGTAAATGTTGCTTTGTCAAGAACACCACATTCCAACAACTGCTGTGCAGACACTGGCTTGCGTACACCATCAAACATTAGTTTAGAAGGATCTTTCCCATCTGCAAGTGGCAATAGAAGAAGACTTGTGTGAGGCTCCGTTTTACATTTTTTCTTCAAGCTTCCGTAGCTAGAGTCCTGTTCAGTGTCTGGATCAAGGTAACAAACAGGACTCTTGTCCAGTTCATGACAAATATCTTGATCTAAAAGATTATGTTTTTTAGCAGTGTCTCTAGGTAGGAAAACACTGAGGTTTGGATCTAGAATCCCCCCTACAGATTCTTGGGCCTGTAGCAAACTTATTCCAGTCTTTTTGTCAATTATTCCCATCTTCATTGCTTCAAACACAGAAAGAGGTTTACCAGTGCGAGGATCTGGATAGCCAACTGCAGCTGCTTCAGCTGCTAAAAGTTTATTTCTGTCACTTTTGTCCACCACTCCTTTTGTGCATGCTTCTTCCACAGTTAGTTTTTGATTTAGTGTGGGGTCAATGATGTGTCCTGTGGCAGCCTGAGCTTCTAGAAGTTTATCTGAACTTTCAGGAGACATAAGCATCTGTTTCTTAGCATCTGATAAAGATATTTTGCCCAAAGATCCTGCTGTCACTCCAGCAATTGGTCCAGTTCCTTTTAGGAAGATCTTTCTATCCACAGACACCTCTGCAACAGTTTTTTCCCCTTTAACTAACTGATTAAATGTTGGTTTGTCCAGGACCTCACAATCAAGTAGTTGCTTTGCTGTCACCGGCTTGCGTACGCCATCAAAAATCAGTTTGGAAGGATCTTTTCTTTCAGCAAGTGGCAAAAGAAGCAGACCTGTGTGAGGCTCTGTTTTGCATTTTTTCTTCAATGTTCCATAGCTAGCGTCACGTTCAGTGTCTGGATCAAGGTAACACACAGGATTCTTGTCCAGTTCATGACAGATGTCTTGATCTAAAAGGTTACGTTTTATAGCAGTGTCTCTAGGAAGGAAAACACTGAGGTTGGGATCTAGAATACCACCTGCAGACTCTTGGGCCTGTAGCAAACCTATTGCAGTTTTTTTGTCAATTGTTCCCTTCTTCATTGCTTCAAACACAGAAAGAGATTGACCAGTTCGAGGGTCTGGATAGCCCACAGCAGCAGCTTCAGCTGCTAACAGTTTATCTTGATCACATTTATCCACCACTCCACTTGCACATGCTTCTTCTACAGTTAGTTTCTGGTTAGTTTTGGGGTCAATGATGTGACCTGTGGCAGCCTGAGCTTCTAGCAGTTTATCTGCACTTTCTTGAGATATGAGCATTTGTTTCTTGGTGTCCGATAAAGACATTTTGGCTGATGGTCCAACCACCACTCCAGCAATTGGCCCAGTTCCTTTTAGAAAAATCTTTTTGTCCACAGACACCTCTGCAACAGTTTTTTCCCCTTTAATTAATTGGGTAAATATTGGTTTATCAATGATCTCACAATCAAGTAGTTGTTTCGCTGTTACAGGCTTACGTACACCATCAAATATCAGTTTGGATGGATCCAACTTATCCATTATGTGTAAAAGTAGCAAACCTGTGTGAGGTTCAATTTTGCATTGTTTCTTTAACGTTTCATAAGTAACATTTGTCTCTGTTTCTGGGTCAATGTAACATTCAGGGTGCTGGTTTAGAGCCTGACAAATATTTTTATCTAAAATTTTGCGCTTTATTGCTGTGTCTTCAGGTAAGAAAACACTAAGATTTGGATCTAGAATTCCTCCTACTGATTGTTGTGCTTGAAGTAGGCGTAATCCAGTCTTCTCATCAATCATTCTCATCTTCATGGCCTGAAACACTGAGATAGGCTTGGCTACGTTAGGATCCTTGTAGCCTATTGCTGCAGCCTCTGCTTCCAATAATCTGTCTCGATCAATAGTGTCTACTACACCTTTAGCACAGGCTTCATCTACAGTCAGTTTTTGGTTGGCTTTGGGGTCAATTATGTGACCTGTGGCAGCCTGAGCCTCTAATAGCAAATCTGCACTTTCTTCAGGCAGTAACATTTGTTTTTTAGCTTCAGGCAAAGACATTTTACCTTGTTTTTCCACAATAACACCTGCAATGGGTCCAGTTCCTTTCAGATTGATGTTTTTATCTACAGACACCTCCGGGACTGTTGTCTTTCCATTTTCTAGATCTTTAAATGTTGGCTTGTCAAGGACACCACAATCAAGCAGCTGTTTGGCGGTGACAGATTTCCGAACACCATCAAAAACAAGTTTGGAAGGGTCCACCTTCTCAGGAATGGGAAGAAGCAAAAGGCCTGTGTGTGGCTCTATTTTACATCTCCTTTTCATTGACATGTAAGTCACACCTTCCTCTGTTTCTGGATCTAGATAGAGCTCAGGCCTCTGATTTAAAGCATAACAAATGTTATCATCAATCAGGTTACGCTCAATGGCTGAGTTCCTTGGAAGGAACACACTGAGTACAGGATCTAGAACCCCTCCGACAGACTCCTGTGCCTGTAACAGACGGAGAGTTGTGTTCTTGTCAATAAGTCCCTTCTTCATGGCTTGAAATACTGAGAGAGGTTTATTTGTGCCAGGTCCACTGTATCCTACAGCTGCTGCTTCTGCTGCCAACAATCTCTCTTGGTCTTCATCATCAACAACTCCTTGATTACATGCTTCTTCTACAGTCAACTTCTGATTAGTTCTAGGGTCAATGATGTGACCTGTAGCAGCTTGGGCATCTAGTAGTAAGTCAATGCTATCAGGTGGGAGAAGATTTTCTTTCTTGGCTTCTGTGAATGTCATTTTGCAAACAGGCCTATTGCTGGACCCTAGAGTTTTAGGACCTTCAATTATCACCCCAGCTATTGGGCCTGTTCCCTTTAAAGGTACCCTTTTCTCAGTAGACACCTCAGGAATGGTCTTATGTCCTTTTGAAAGCTGGTTGAATGTTGGTTCATCCAAAACTCCACATTCAAGTAATTGCTTTGCTGTGACTGACTTGCGAACTCCATCAAATATCACAGAGGAAGCTTCAGGGGCTGGGGGCTCCCTAGTTCTTTTTAGTTCAGTCTGTGTGGTTTGTCTAACAACTGCTGTCTCTTGCAGCTCTTTCTGTAGGACTAAAAGTTTACTTGTATGCATATCCTCAAGCTCCCTGTGTTCCATTTTCAGCCTCTCTATCTCACTTTTCAAGGATTTCTTTTCCCGATCAAGAATATCCTTGTCTGTGTCATATTGTCTGATTATGCTTTGTTTTCCGTCACATTGATCCTTCCAGTAATTTAAATCTCTTTTCACCCTCTCACTTTCTTCTAGGATACGTTGCTTGTTACGAAGCTCAGAATCCAGAGACAGCTTTATGCGACTGAGTTCTTCCTCTAGTCTTTGGAGTTGTTCTCTGTCCATTTCCAACCTCTGCAGTTTCAGCAAGAGAGCATCTCTCTCAATTACAATTTCACCATACTGGGATTGAAGGGATTGCGCCATTGTTTTTGTCTGCAGGTTAAAAAAAAAGAAAAAGATGACAAAGAGCAAAAAGATAAAACATTAGTAAACTCAGAAATGCTTGAATAAGTTACAACATAAGGTAATTTTTTTTAATCTTAATCACAGTTAGAATTACAGTGACAGTAAAGATGTGTTGATGAGAACACACATACTTGCTCTTTTTATTTTTTCAACACAAGAAGGCAGTCTAATTAAACGCAACCAATTGATCTTTTTTCAGTTTTGTAACAAAGACAAGGGTTTTTGTTTAACTACATGAAGTAAATAAGCTAAAGCTTCCACTAAAGTAAGAAAAAAATAACACATGATAAGCAAATTTGTGTGTTCTATCATTTGATTTTGCTAAGATAAAAAAAATCACTGCTGCAAATATCTATAGAAAAAGAAATATAAAAACAAGACTGAGAACTAAATGTTAGTCTACTATTTTTATAGCAGTAAAGTTTTGAATAAAAATGACAAGTAGAAAAATATCCAATATGTCAAAAAGCCATTGGAATTTTTAACTGAAACCAGACCATCAGCAAACACAAATGTATAATATACTAATTGTACTGTACAAGATACTGTCTGCATTCAAAGAATCTGTGAAACAACAGAAGCACATAAGCAACAATGATGTTTTTTACTCAATGTGTCTGAAGTAGATTACAAACAAGTGCATCTAAGTGTTGTTTTACAGATTAGCAAAAAACATCTTGTAGAACTAACAAGGATAAGCCAGATCACCTGACTTTTCCTTGATAGATTTATCTACCTGGATTATTGAGCATGCATCAGGACATCTTCGAGATCACGGAAATGCCACAACACAACAATAAAACAGTAATTCCACAAACGTAGCAAAAGACCGGCGGCAGTGGCAAACTGATGATTTTGATCACCAAAAATCTAAGAAATGTAATCCTAAAACATGCATTCTACACTATGTAGGATAGGAAACAATGGGATGAGGACATCAGCAAACAAGAGGCACAGGTTGTTTGCATGCAAGTAGTTCAAATGCCATTCATTCAAACACCTACAGGTGTAGGTGTTTGAATATTGATTTTTTTTTTGTTTTAGCAAGGGATCTATGGATGTTTTAGCATGCAAGAAAAGCTAAGCTACAGTGGTAGCTAAGCTCATATTCTAGTTGAAAGTTTGGAAGGATGAAACTAGTCCAGAACGAAGTGGTAAGCATTCATGTACCTCTGTGACCTGCTTTTGTATTTTCTCTGCCTCCAACTTCAGTTTCTCCCGCTCAGAGGAGAGTTCTGAGACCAGGTTGCGGTAGTCTACATTGCTGCACTCACTGGCTTGCAGCTGCAATTCCAGGGCAGTAACCTGAGAGGAGAGCTCATCATCTAGTCCCTTTTTGGATCTTAGGAGTTCTTCTTTATTTTGTTGTGCTTTTCTCAGCTCTTCCTCCAGCCTCAACTTTTCTTTATTCTGATTTTCTATCATCTCCTTCAGCCTCTGAAGTTCAGCAATGTTCTCATTAAGTTCCTTACATTTCTCTTCAGTAGTCTTGGAAAGAGCCTCATTTCTGAGACTTGTCTCTTTGACTCGGACCTGCTCATGCAGAAGTTGCTGCTTCAGGGTGTTCAGTTCAACAACCTGTTGACTGTTGAGCTTTGAATTATTCTGGTTTTGTTTCAAGCTTTTCTCAAGCTCCTCCTTCAGCCTAAGTAACTCTTCTTCATTGCTCTTTTTTGATGTGCTGACTTGTTCCTGGCTTTGGCGCAGTTGGGTGATGGTACTGGTGTACTCTGTTATGGTCATGGTGACCTTTTCCAGCTCTGCTTCCACTTGCATTCTTCGGCTCACCTCCTCTTGGTGAGTCTGCCTTAGATTTTCCACCTGACTCTCAAGTCCATCTCTCACAGTCTGCAGGTCTTTAATTCGTCCCTGTGACCTGCACATGATTTGTTCTAATCTGTATCGCTCTTTACCTTCTCTTTCCAGCTGTAAACGTGTCTGCAGAAGTTCTTCCTCATACTCTCTTAGCTGGGTTGTAGCCACTGATGAGTTGGTTAGCTTTAGCTGGATCTCTGCTAAAGACTTCTCAAGTACAGCCTGCCCTTCCTCTGTGGTTGTTCTCCTGCGGGTCTCCTCCTCTAAACTGTGAGTTACATAAACTAGTTGTTCACTCTTCTCTTTCAGGGTCTTCATGACTTTAGTAAACTCCTCTCTATACTGGCTAATTTCTTCATCTCTCTGCCTTATTAGTAACTCCATTTGATTTTCCATTTCCCTCCTTCTGCACCCTTCTTCTATGAGCATGGCCTGTTGATTGCGAGCCTCATCCTCTGCATTTGTCTTTAGCTCCTCAGCCTGGTTTATAGATATCCTGAGCAACATGAGTTCCTCCTCCAGATTCCTCCTCTCTGCCTCCATTCTGTCATACTGCAGCTGGAGCTCAGCTGTATCCTCATCCCTCTGGGTTGCCAGTCTCTGAATGTCTGTGCGACTGATCTGGATGTGGGACTCATAGCCGAGTTTTAAGTTATTGATCTCTGTACTGAAATGCCTCCTTACCTTTGATATTTCTTTCTGTAGCTCCTTTGACCTTGTTGCTTCCTCATTCAGCTGCCGCCGCAGCTGCTCAATCTCATGCTCCTTGTTTGTAACACTCTTTTCCACCTCCACCTTGGACCAGCTGATTGTTTCCAGCTCTTTTTGCCTTTTCCTCAGCACTGATTCATACTCTTCTTGCTGCTGAGTGTAGCGCTCTTCTGCCAACTTTGTCTTTCTTTTTTCTTCACCCAGCAAGTATTTGAGGCGTGCCACCTCATCATTGAGGTCTGCTAGCTGACTCTGAGTGGAGTCTAGGCTGTTCTTCGTGGCACTGCACTGCAGCACTGTGCTTTGCTTCACCTCTTCCAGTGACAGCAACTGGTCCTTTGACTGGGACAGCTCCAGCTGATATCGAGCAAGAGCATCTTCCAGTGATCTGTTCTTGGCGTTGCGGTCTTGCATGTTCTCCTTCAGCAGGCGAAGTTCTTCTTCCAGCAGTTCAATCTGGGTGTTGCGTATCTAGAAGGAAAATAGAGAGGATGAGTGCAGTGTTGGTTTTTAGAACAGTGATCAAGTACACTGTGACATTTCAATCATGAAAGCCTTAGTTGAACTATTCATTCAATCATTTTCTTTAAAATCTCGATCCAAACCCCAAACTGAAAATGCCCAGGTCAGAAGATAAACTTGCAACCTTGCAAGGCAACAGCTCTAACTGCTGTGATTAAACCAATTAAAAATGGACTATGAGCAGCAGTTGCTCTGGGAAATGGCTATTTTTCCCAAGTAAAGAACTTCGTAGTGACTGTTCAAGGCTTTATTTCTAGTTTTGTGTTTCTGAACAGAATTCAACTGTGTTTATTCCCTCTTTCTCCTGCTTAAACAAAAAGGCAGAAATCACTAGGGTTACCAATGACTCACCAAGTCTACCTATTTCTTCCAAGGAAACATTACTATAAGTAACAAGGCTGGTAAAATAAAATGCATTTCCTTTAAACATGTATACTTTACATATTTCACATTTCACAAACATTGCATTTACCAGATAAGTCAAGAGTGTCAGCTAGCTTACAATGGGGTTGAGTTTATTCTTGGCTCAGAAAAGAGCACTTTTAACTCAAAGAAACTCTGGTTTTGATCCACTTGGATTTAAAAGAAGCTATAAACATCATATCCTGATGCATGCTCAATAATCCAGGTAGAAAAATCCAAAAAAGTTCAATCTGGTCCTCTGGACATTCAAAAAAACAAAAAAACAAAACAAAGCAAAAAAAATATAGAAACGTTTCGTCTCTCATCCGAGAGACTTCCTCAGTCTGAGGTGCTGTATTCAGCTCAGTCTCTTAAATAGCACCTTCTCAGAGTGGATCAACCAGTTTTGCTGCTGACAACCAAAACCAGCTGATCACATGCTCAAGAAGGACCATCAGCCTAAAAATGGATCATTAGCACACTGATGGCTGTTTACTATTCACAGGGGGTTGAGTGATACTAGCAATAACAGCAGTGTAAGAGGGGGACAGTTGAACCCGGAGGCCTCCACTCCTGTTTAATGATGGACGATTTCTTTTCACAAAGATGGCCTCCTTTACTCCTCTCTCAAACCATCATTTCTCTCTGTCCAGGATGTGAACATCTTCATCCCTGAAAGAGTGACCGCTGGCCTGGAGGCCTCCGGGTTCAACTGTCCCCCTCTTACACTGCTGTTATTGCTAGTATCACTCAACCCCCTGTGAATAGTCAACAGCCATCAGTGTGCTAATGGTCCATTGTTAGGCTGATGGTCCTTCTTGAGCATGTGAGCAGCTGGTTTTGGTTGTCAGCAGCAAACTGGTTGATCCACTCTGAGAAGGTGCTATTTAAGAGACCGAGCTGAATACAGCACCTCAGACTGAGGAAGTCTCTCGGATGAGAGACGAAACGTTTCTATATTTTTTTGCTTTGTTTTGTTTTTTGTTTTTTTGAATGTCCAGAGGACCAGATTGAACTTTTTTGGACTTTAAAAATCCTGTCTTTTTTACAATATTCAGAGCCTGAATTGCTTTAAAAAATAATGCATTGAGGCATAAGCAACCATTTTTTTCCTAACAATGGCAGAAATGGGACTTTACAGTATAAAAAATAAAACCCAATATGACATTTGCACAAAAGTCATTTTCTTTCATACTCACTTGTCAGATTAAAAAAACAAGTATATTTAAAAAACAACCACATACCTTGAGCTCCTCCATGTTTTTAAGCAACTGTCCCAAGAACTTGTAGTAGTCACCAGACAGTGTAAGCAACTCCATGTAACGAGTCTGTAATTGTGAAGCCTTGCACAAAAACAAATTCAGATGCAATGTCATTTTATTCTTGGAAAACATAAATTTATTTGAACCTGTGAAAGTAAAATGTTACTTCTTGATTAAGATCCATTGATGGGGACTTCAGCATTGTTCTCTTGATGGGGATGTTAAGCAAAGTTTCTAAACCAGAGGTATAAGAGGCAAGGTCGGTTTCATAGTCCTGCAAGAAACCAAGACATGAGACCAAATAATGGCAATTTTTATAAATATGTTAAATGTTTTACCCACTTACCTTGATAGCATTCACACATGTTTCATTGTCCCTCAGCACACTATCTACTGTCTCCCTCTTTGCTTTGATTTCTGTGTTCAAGGCCTTGGACATACCAACAAAACATAGATGTCAGTAACAATGCAACATGAACTTAGGCCCTCCAAATACTATTTATATTAATTAATCACAACTAGAAGCTGAGCAGAGAACCTTTTGGTTGCTAATGTGGTCTTTCAGTGCTTGGACATTCTCTATCTTGGTGGCCTGAAGGGTGTCCTGTTTTTTCCGAGTGTTATCAATCCATTCAGTTAGGGAGGTGTTGGTTTCATTGTAGTGCTGCAGCTGAGGCAGATACAACTGCAGGTCCTGGAGTCTGAAAATATTTAAGCATAGTCAAGCAGTTTTTACTTTGCATATAATTCCATTTCCATCATTCTTATGTCAAGGGTCTGTCAAGGGTTTTAACAAAGAGAAAGAGACATACCTGGTGTCAATCTGATCATGGATTCGTCTCCAGCGGTTGGTCAGCAGGCCCACCTGTTCAGTGTATTTTGACAGCATCAAGTCACACCTGTGGAAGGAGCTCCCCACCTGGCTGTTCCAGTGGTTCGCCTTTGACAATTCTGCCTCCATACATGTCAGAACTTCTTTCTTCTGATCCAACTCTGCTTTCATGTTCTACACATTAACAAGACACAAGCAAGGAACACTAGTCAGAAAAGGCATCTTTAATGGCATTTTTGCATTGTGAGGCCCAGGCTGGTCTTGGTCTTCCCTGGCTCTGCACAGCCTTGTTGATTTTGCATGTGGGGAAGATTGTCATAGCAAGAATGCTTGAGGCTTATGTGCTGTCCCTTTTTTTAAAACCATACTATACCATACCACTTTATTTATAAAGCACTTGAAAACAGGAGCAAAGCCAACCAAAGTGCTGTACAACAAAACAAATAGCAAAGGACACTGTCAGGATTTCTGACTGAGTAGGACATGAATGAACCCAATGGTGCAGGCAGGAGCTCAGAGACTCAGCAGGTAAAAGTAAATACTTTTAATAATAATAAATCAAAGGGCTGACGTGGCAGCATAAACTTACAGGACGGAACCAGGACAGGATTAGGATCAGAACAGGACAAGAAGACCATACCCAACGGTTAACTGACACTGAACAAGACTCATAGATAGACTTAAATACACAGATAAGACAGGGAATAATTACAAACAGCTGGAGATGAGACATGGGTGAAACTGATCAGGGTTGATTAGGAGACACACTGGGGAATACAGCTAAGGAAGGTCCACCAGATGGCAACATCCTTACAGTACTCTTCCCCCAAGGATGCCCCCTGGCATCCCCAAAAAGCCCACCCCAAAGGACTTGGGCGGGAGGAGAGAGGAACTGCAAGGATGGAGGGCCCATGGAAAACGTAAGGAAAAAAACAAACAGGCCGGAGCAGACCAGGCGGGTGGCCGGGGGGTTTGTCCAAAATGCCGGGGCAGATCCGGCAGGTGCCCTGGATGAGTTGTGGAGCCTGCGTGAGTTGTGGAGCCTGAGCGAGTCATGGACCCGAGGCGATGAGAAAGACCAAGGCAATGAGAAGGTCCAAATCGATGAGAAGGACCAAGGTGATGGACTAAAGCAGGACAATACTGCCATGGAACCCTCTGGGCAAGATGTGGACCCTGGGCAAGACATGGGCCCTTGGCGAGTTGCATGCAGTGTGGAGACCTCAAGCGGTGTAGAGACCTCAAGCAGTGTGGAGACCTCGAGTGGCGTGGAGTCCTCAAGTGCTGTGGAGACCTCGAGCGGCGTGGAAACCTCAATTGGTGTAGAGACCTCAAACGCATGGAACCCTCAACAGGAGGCATAGAGACCCAGGTGATGCAGCTGGTGTGAAAACCTCAGGTGATGCAGCTGGTGTGAAAACCTCTGGTGATGTAGCTGGTGTGAAAACCTCTGGTGGTGCAGCTGCCATGGGACCCTCTGGAGATAAAGCTGCAATGGGACCTTCTGCGGATGTGAAGGTGTCGGCGGACCTGGGACCCTCTGTGGATGTGGAGGGGTCAGCGGACCTGGGATCCTCTGCGGATGTGGAGGCATCAGCAAACCTGAGACCTTCTGCGGACATGGAGGCATCAGCAGACCTGGGGCCCTCTGTGGATGTGGAGGCGTCTGCGGACCTGGGGCTCTCCGTCGACATCGAGACCTCTGTGGCTGTGGTAGGCATCGGGACCTCTGTGGCAGGGTCTTTGGCAACTAGGTCTTCTGCAGCAGGGTCTTCAGTGGCAGGGTCTTCTGCGGCAGGGTCTAGAGCAGACATGGAACTCTCTGCAGGAGATGGTGTGGACCCCACAGCAGTAGGAGGTGGAGAAGAGCCTTCCTGAGTGCCCCCAGCAGAGCTGGAAGCAGAAGAGCCCACCTGGACCCCCACAGCGACACTCAAAGGTATTGAGACTCTTGGTCCAACCCCCATGGAGACACTCAGAGGCAGGCTGTCGGTGCCAGTTCCCACAGAGACACAGGAAGCAGGGAACGTAGGTGGGTCAGGCCCCATGCCAAGCACAGTGCAGTGAGAAAAGTTCTCTAGAACCCTCTTGGAGGCTGAATGAGAAGCATTCTCCTGGACTCTCTCTGTGAAGTAGGGGGCCAGTGGTTTAGGGTCTGACACTAAAGAGTCTAAGTCTGGAGCTGGAGAGTCAGGTGTTGGGGCTGAGTCAGGCACTGGAACAGGGGCCGAGTCAGGCACTGGGACTGGGGCCACGTCAGGCACTGGGACAGGGGCCGAGTCAGGCACTGGGACTTGGGCTGAGTCAGGGGCTGGGACTTGGGCTGAGTCAGGGGCTGGGACTTGGGCCGAGTCAGGGTCTGGGACTGGGGCAGAGTCAAGCACTGGGACTGGGGCCTAGTCTCTGGAACTTTTCTGCCGTCGACCTGTCCTGTGGTGGTGACGGTGTGGTTCAAGGCCAGGATTGAGCCGGAGCTCCTCTTTGGGCTCAGGACCAACCTTCAAAAATTGGCTCTGCAGCTGGGGAGCCGGGAGCTTATTCTATAGCCGGGGAGTCCGGAACTGGTTCTGCAGCAGGAGAGTCAGGGACTGGCTCTGAAGCAGGGAAGTCAGGGACTGACTCTGAAGCAGGGAAGTCAGGGACTGGCTCTGCAGCAGGGGAGTCAAGGACTGACTTTGCAGCAGGGGAGTCAGGGACTGGTTCTGCATTGGGGGAGTCTAGTTGTAGAGCTGAGTCAGGTTCTTGAGCTGAATCAGGAACAGGAGGGTCTGGGTTTGAGGTTGGAACAGAATTAGAAGCAGGGACATCAGAGGCTGGTGGAGATGGGTCAGAGTAAGGCTGTGTTTTCAATGTTCTTATTCCTATTAAAAGCTGCTGATATTCTGGGAGTTGTGTTAGACCGGGTAAGGAAAATAATATTTTTTCTGCAAGGGAGAGGATAGTGTCTAGACAGTCCGGGTTGTGTTTAGCAGAGGAGAGTAGATTTTGCAAAGTCCAGTTTATTTGGGTGAGGTCACTGGGTTGGAGCTGAGGTGTGGTGCAGAGTTCTGCCCCCGCGGAGAAACCGGAACTGGACTCAGGAGGCTCAGTCTCACCGGACAAAGCAAGAGCGGCTCAGAGTGACAGAGAGGTGTTGGACTCCGCCCACACCGTAACCCTGGGAGGTAAGAAGATGGGACCTGTTCCTACTGAAGCGATAGGACCGCATCTAGGAAACTCGGGCTCGCCAGACCAAGTCGGATCAGCTGAGCGTGTCGGAGGGGACTAACAGAGGTACGATGGACCGCTTCCGGGCCCTCTTTCTGTCGCTCTGACGGTGGCGGTGGCGATGGGGGACAGAAACGAGACAAAGCTCATTCTCCAACTCTGCGTCCTCCCCGAATGTCCATCCCGAGGAAACGAGCGGCGCTGGAGAAGAGAGGGAACTGGGCTCACATGTCAGGTAGTTCACCCGGAGCTGGAAATGCTTTCTCTCTTCCTCCAGCATGAGAAGAGGCGAGGGCAGGATTTCCACCGTCTGTCTGCAGTGTTCTGGAGTCTGGACTGGTTTGGTCCGGAACCCGCCACACCGGATCACAGTCTTCCCCATCTGCATGGGCTCGTGCAGACTGATGAGTGAAACTGAAGAGAACCTGCCTGATGGGTTCTGATATGGTCGGTTCATACCGTCAGGATTTCTGACTGAGCAGGACATGAATGAACCCAATGGTGCAGGCAGGGACTCAAAGACTCAGCAAGTAAAAGTAAATACTTTTAATAATAGTAAATCAAAGGGCTGATGTGGCAGCATAAACTTACAGGGCAGGGTATAAACAGGTTGGAACCAGGACAGGAGACAAGACCATACTCAACGATGAACCAACACTGAACAAGACTCACGGATAGGCTTAAATACACAGACAAGACAGGGCATAATTACAAACAGCTGGAGATGAGACAAGGGTGAAACTGATCAGGGTTGATTAGGAGACACACTAGGGAATACAGATAAGGAAGACCCACCAGATGGTTCCATCCTTACAGACACAGGATAAAATACAGAACACATATTTTTCTGACAACGAACAATGGAAAACACAAAGCTCATGCTACTGCTGTTCATTGTTTTTTTTCTGCCATCAAAAACAAATTAAAGCTGAGCCAGAGAAGGCTGCATGCTGCTAGCACACAGCAGAAAGATACATGAGAGTGGATAAGACCATACAACAGAATGTATTTTTTTTTCATTCAGCCTTTATTTAGACAGGTAAATCCCATTGAGCCTCAAGGACTCATTTACAAGAGAGACCTGATTTCAACAAAGAATGATGAAAACAATGGACAACAGCGACAACAATAGACAGTTATAAAAAGTCATACAGATTTTTTTTTTTTTTTTAACAAATAGGATAGCTTAAAAAAAGACAAGTAACAAAAAACAGCTAGATTCTAAGGCGAATGTAGAAAACTAAAAACAGGAACATGTCAGCATTGGTCCCTGCCAGGAGTCCAACTGATTCTTAAAGCCACTTAGAGAGGTGAAGGTCAAGAGCTTCAAATCTTTTTGTAAGATATTCTAGAAAACAGGAGCGGAGTAGGAGAAGGCCCTTTTGCCTAGTTCAGTCAATGAGGGAACACTGCAGGTAATAATGTCCTGAGAGCGCACGCTGTAACTGCACTCATGCAGAGACGTAGGAGGAGATGTATCAAGGCGGCAGACCAAGAAGTGATTTAAAGATGAAAATGTACCAGTGAGATAGTCTGTGTGAAGTTAATGATGTCCAGTTAACCAGTGAATACAGGGTGCAGTGGTGGGTACGATAATCACAGCCAGTTATGAATCTTAGTGCACCATGATAGACAGCATCCAACATCTGCAGTGTTCTTGTAGGAGCGTTGATGTAAATAATGTCACCATAATCAATGGAGGGAAGGAAGGTCACAGATACAAGGCGTTTCCTAGCATTCAGTTAGACAGGATCTGTTTCTGAAAAAGAAACCCAGTTTAACTGGTATACTGAAGGAGAGAAGGCAAGGCCACATAAGAAGGTAAACTATGCTAGCTAATGTTAACTTGTTTACAGTCATTTGGTCATACTTACAAGGTGAGTGAACAAATAGCCTGCAGTTTGCTGACGTTAAATCTGCAGCACGAGTCAGCCTGCATGCAACCCTGGATCTCTGGGTTCCAAAAATCGAGCAGGAAGTGAGCTGGACGGCCCAAGGCAAACACTTAGAAGCCAGAATGTAACTGAAAGCTGTGCTGACCCAGGCCAGACCAAGGTTTAGAATGCAAAAACACCATAAATAAGATGGCTTCTTATTGGAGGTCAGTATAAAGATCCAACAACTAGGTCTCAGTGGCCATTTTTAATTCATGCTGAGGAGTAAACACAGCTGGTCTAACATGCACAAGTATTCTGATTTTCTGAAGTTTGCCAGGCATAAAGCCAAATGAATGCAACAAAACTGACCATAATCAGGGAACTTTTTACAAGTTATTCATTGCACATAATCTTTAAGGCTGTAAAGGAAAATTTGCTGTAGATTTACATTTACAGATCAAAAACATGCATGTTAGGCTGCCCTTGCAGGCCTCCCTTGCAAAAGAGATCTGTGATCTCAGTGGGATTTGCCTGTTTAAATAAAGGTTAATAAATAAATAAATTTATTTCATTCTATTGCATAGAATACCTTCAAGATCACTGTGTATTCATTGACATCATCTGGAGACAGAGAAGTGGTCTCTTTTTCGGTCAGTCTTGCCTCGTGAACTTTCACAATGTCCTCAGCTCTTGCTATGCTCTCCAGCATGTCCTTTAGAGCCCACAGCCTGACAAAAAACAATGAAAGGTGCAGAGCAGTTTTCAGTTTCATAGGGTTTTGAAGTTTTTCTGCCAGTAGTTTCCAGCACAAAGCCCCTTAAGATGTTTAAGGTGTTCCACAAGGATCAGACCACGGTCCTGTGATATTCACTTCTAACATACTATATGTTATTTGTTAACCCGCCACAATTAAAACTATTTTTAACCTGATGGCACTATCTTTTACAATTTCTGCTCAACTGCAAACTGAGATTACAGTTTTCCAGATAAGTATGCTTAAATTCCTGTTAAAAATGTGTTTATGCAATTTTCAGGCTTACAAAATATTGAGTTCTGTAGAAACTGTTCCACTTAACTGTCAAATAACTTAAGAGCTGCGTTCCTGATGTAAGCTACAACTGATGATGCAAAATGATGTTTATGGTGTGCCACAAGAATCAGTAAAGGGTCCCTTTACGCTGTATTTATTTTGGACATACAAATATCTCAAAATGTTTATTTCCAACTTATAGTATCTATTTTAAAGATACTAAAACCAATCAGCATTTCTTCTGTTGATCTGCAAACTGAGGGAATTCCATAATTTCAAACATTTAAACTCACTGTAGTTAATGCCTGCTATAACTGCTGTATTGTTTGATATAACTCCACTTTATTAATCAATACAACTCTACTATGTAACTTTTGAGTGTGTCTTTGTTGCGTACCGTTGTACATAAGCTGATGAGCTGCTTTCTAGACTGCCCAGCTTTTGGTTGATTATTCCAATCTCGTTGCGGAGGAACTGGGCTTTATCCGAATCATTCATGTTATCCAGTACCTTCAAAATACGGTCCCTCAAATGCAGATACTCTTCACGCATCACATCAACATCACGCTGCACATACTAAAACAGAAATATTAAGAAAGACAGTTGTTGGAAATATTGTAAAATAAACTTTTTGTTTATTGTAAAAGCTTGAATTTGTTTTTTCTTTTTTTCCAGAGATTTGGTTTACCTCTAGCTTGGTGATCTTAAGGCTACAGTCTCGAGCTCCATCTTCTCCGAAGGAGATATGAACGTACTGACTCAGCATACTCTCTGCTGACTCTATCCTCAGTCTGAGAGTGTGCAGCTCTGATAAGAGATGAGATGACAAGGAGGAGAGAGAAGAAGATGATGTCCTTTTGCTTTGCTCTGTCTTAGTGACTTTTACTGTTTCCTTCTTGATCTGTTGCTCTTTTGCTATCGTCTCTTTCTTCACTTCTGTTTTCTTCACTGTCTGTTTTTTAAGCTCCACTCGCCGCCTCTCATCATCCAGCCTCCTAGCTTCATCCAGCCTCCTAGCTTCTTCCAGCCTCCTAGCTTCTTCCAGCCTCCTAGCTTCTTCCAGCTTCCTGGCTTCCTCCAGCCTTCTGGCTTCCTCCAACCTCCTTGCCTCTTCTTCTGCAGCAGCTTGTTGTTGCTGTTGCTGTAATATAATCAGGTGCTGTTGCTCAGGTGGTTGCTGTAATATAATCAGGTGCTGTTGGGGTTGTTGCTCAACAGCTTGTTGCTGCAAAAGAATCAGCTGCTGTTGTTGCTGTTCTACATCAATAGTTTCCTCTTCTTCTATTTGCTCCTGAGTCGTAACTGTGGAAAAGAAGAAAATGCAGAGGTAAAACCAACGTGTTACCTCTGCATTGATTATTACTGTAGGTTTAACACTGACCATGCATAGGCAGCTCCACCACCAGTTTTTCATAGTGGGTTTGCGCTCCAGTAAATTGGTTTTCAATGATCCTCTTGTCCTCATCACCAAACATCTGAGAACCATGGCTGGTCAGTTTGAACTCCTCGAAGTGGGCCTCTAGGTTCTTGAGGATTTGTCGGTACTCCTCAGGACGCATCTTGGACAACTGAGAACACAAATAAAGGCATTATGAGTGATTTCTAGACAAAATATTTAAGTAGAAGAACTAAAACTTACTGCAGTTAGAAAATGGGTTCTTGCAATTCCTAATAAAATAGTAACATTAATGGTGTGAGAAAATGTTGAAAGACTTTAATTAGGTTGGAATTTGGAATAAACTTTATGCTCATGATAGTTGTTTATTCACAAAGTCTTTTAAATCAGTTACTTAAATTATAAGCATGTCTTAGAGGCATAAAAACCAGAGTGACACTTAATTTTCTGCTTTTAAACTCAGACGACAAAGGATGTGATGTTTGAACCTGAGCATCTTAAGAACAAAACTTTCCAGCATTTCACTTCTTCTGAATAGCAATAACTTGACTTCCTCTACTAACGTAAGGAACCTTGGAGATATTTTAACAAGACTGCTTCCACCTGTGCAATATGACTAAAACTGGAAACAGCTTGTTCCAAAACGATATATTAAAACAGATCCATGAATTTAACAGTTCTAGGATGGACGCTTAAAATGTTTCTAATAGATCCCTTCACTATCAAGTTTACTTGTGGTTCCTAGAGTTTCTAAAAGGAAAATAGAATATACGAAGCACAGCTTATCGTACTAGACTCCTCTCTTGTGAAAACAATGTCCAGTTTCTGTCCTTGAGGCTTTGACCAGGCTTAAGAATTTCCATTTTGATAAATCCTACAGTTTGGGTTGGCTTGGGGTTCCTGAGCTATCCCTTAGCTATGCTGCTACTTGTTTAGACTATATGAAGATGTCTTACCATGGAGATGGTGAGGGAGTTGATGTATTGTATATCCAGGAGACAGTAGTGCCAGGCAATGAGGCTCTTAACATTGATGTACAGTTGATTCCAGATGGCCAGGATGGACTCGTAATACTGCTCATTCCTTTACGAAACACAAAATTTCACTTTTTTTTTATTTTTTATACTTATATGCTGAAAAAGGTTTATTTGTGTTTCTTACTTGATAGCATAATTGACACTCAGTGGATTAGGAGGTGGCACAATCAGGCACACTGAGGGGACCAACATATCCAGGCCTCCTGGACCCGTTACGTGCCACTTACTGCGCTGACTGTTGTCCTTCAGAATGGCCTCGTTGCCTTTACAGATCATTTTCTGAAGGGCCCAACAAAAACATATTTTAATAACCATTTTAACTCCAGTTAGTTCACCTCAAATATTTAGCCAAAAAAAAAATAATCCAAATTTAGGTGTAAATGTGTTTGAATTGGACTGAATTGTAAAAAAAAAACAAAAAAAAAAAAAAAAAAACACACAACTGACCTGGTCTTGTTTAAAGTCACACAAAGCTTTGACGATGATGCCGCTGCTCTTCTCCTCAGGATTTCTGGGTTTCAGCCTCACGATGTTCTTCGACTTGTTCACCAAGTGTTGCACCTGCAGCTTGTGATCCCGAATCTTTTCCCTTTCCAGCTGAAGAAAAATGTGACATTTTCTAGTCATACTGTAGATATGACATCATTCTGCACACAAATACCATAAAAGTAAACTTTTGTTGTGTTATTACAAAAAGTTCTCCCACCTCCATGTCTTGAAGGATCTCCTTCAGTTCCTCAAGTGAAGTGTTCTTGTCACAAACGAACTTCTTACGAACTGTATCGTGTTCTTTTTGTAAAGACTTGTATGTGTCATTCACCTCTTTGAAGAACTATTAAAACAAACAATAAAATTACCAAATAAGCAACAAAAAAATGCTAAGATGTTCATGTTTTATACTAGGTATTCTTTAAGTAAGGCAACAGAAAACAGGACGTTTACATAAAAAGCTGTAAAAATACTACAGTAATTGTCAAAAGAGCAGCAGCTACGTGCACTCTGCCCATCCTTCAGACGACTGCACGGACATATTCCCGCTGTATCTCGGTACAATGATAATAAAGCTTATTCTGACTCTGAAAAAAAAAGTATTATCTGATTGAGTGGAAGCCAAATAAAGACTCAAAAATCACAAACTCATTTCTAATTAACCAGACTACACCTTTAATCTTTACAGGTTTCTTTAAAATATAACCTTGTATTTTAGAATTACTAACATAACACAAAAAGTAAGATAATTTGTGTTTGATCCATTATTTTGTTGTAAGAATACTTCTTGTAAATAAGTTTTATGCAATTGGAAAACCTGTTTATTTCCCTTTAAATTATGACGTATTTGCTATGAATTTGTGGGTGCCAGGCTGTTGTGGCTGTGTATGGTTCTTCTACATGCTACAGAGGTCTGTGTTTGTTAAACTAATAAACTGTTGACTTGTCAATATATCTAGTTTCAGTGAACTTCAAATCATCTAATCCAATAAACAACAAACAAGCGACAAAGTCAGAATCAGAGGTTTTGTATGGGGTGCCATTTGTAAAGTTACACAGTCAAAAATTAACCGCAATATTTTGGTTTATTTAGCCTTTAATAAAAAAAAACAAAAAAAAAAAACGTTTTTTTTAAGTCATATTTTTACGATGTTATTCATACATTTATAAAAGTCATAGTTCCAAACTAAATATTTAAATTGCAAGCTAAATGTTTAGTTTACAAACTAAATACTTAACTTGCAAGTTAAATATTTAGTTAGCAAGCTAAAAATTTAGTGCCACACTAAATATTTAGTTTGCAAACTAAATGTTTATGTCCAAGCTAAATGTTTAATTTACAAACAAGTTAAATATTTAGTTAGTAACTACATATTTATATATATATATATATATATATTAGGTGTAAATTAAATATTTAATTTCCAAGCTAAATATGTATTTTCAAAACTAAACATTTAATTTCCAAACAAAAATATTTATTGTTCAAACTAAATATTTAATTTCCAAATTAAACATTTAATTCCTAAACTAAATATTTAATTTGCAAACTAAATATTTGGCTCAGACCTAAATATTTAACTTGCTAGCTAAAAAAATGCCTAAATATTTAACTTGCTATTTAAATATTTAGCTCAACTGTAAATATTTACCTCATATGCCAATTCCTTGCCGAAAAGCGGAAGTGGACTATCAAAATAAAAGCCTCACCTCTATATACATGTATACACACCTGCCAAACCACTGATGTTCTCTGCTAACTCATTTACCATGTCCAGAGGAAAAGAATGATGATAAAATATGGCACATAAGAGAAAACTGAAATGATTCAGTCTGGCCAGCTGCAATTCTTCTTTTCCTTCTTCTTCTGGTGATTTTTGGCGGATTGGCAAGAGATTTATATATAGAGATTCGGATTTTATTTTGATAGTCTACTTCTGTTTTTCAGCAAGGGATTTGCATTTTAGTTAAATATTCAGGTTTGAGCTAAATAGTTAACTTACAAGTTAAACATTTAGTTAGCAAATTAAATATTTATTTTGGAAATTAAATGTTTAGTTTGGAAAATAAATATTTAGGTCCAAGCTAATTATTTAGTTAGCAAATTCAATATTTAGTTTAGGAATCAAATGTTTAGCCTAGAAATTAAATGTTTAGATTATTAATTAAATATTAACTTTGACAATAAATATTTAGTTTGAAAATTAAATTAGTTTTGAAAATAAATATTTAGCTTGAAAATTAAACATTTACATTACACCTAAATATGTAGTTCACTAACTAAATATTTAACTTGAAAGTTAAGTATTCAGTTTATAAACTAAATATTTAGCTTGCAATTTAAATATTTAGTTAGCAAATTAAATATTTTTTTGGGAAATTAAATGTTTAGTTTGGAAAATAAATATTTAGGTCCAAGCTAATTATTTAGTTAGCAAATTCAATATTTAGTTTAGGAATCAAATGTTTAGCCTAGAAATTAAATGTTTGGATTATTAATTAAATATTAACTTTGACAATAAATATTTAGTTTGAAAATTAAATTAGTTTTGAAAATAAATATTTAGCTTGAAAATTAAATATTTATATTATACCTAAATATGTAGTTCACTAACTAAATATTTAACTTGAAAGTTAAGTATTTAGTTTGTAAACTAAATATTCAGCTTGTAATTTAAATATTTAGTTAGCAAATTAAATATTTATTTTGGAAATTAAATGTTTAGTTTGGAAAATAAATATTTAGGTCCAAGCTAATTATTTAGTTAGCTAGCAAATTCAATATTTAGTTTAGGAATTAAATGTTTAGCTTAGAAATTAAATGTTTAGTTTTGAAAATAAATATTTAGCTTGAAAATTAAATATTTATATTACACCTAAATATGTAGTTCACTAACTAAATATTTAACTTGAAACTTAAGTATATAGTTGGTAAACTAAATATTTAGCTTGTAATTTAAATATTTAGTTATAAATATATGAATAACATGGTTAAAATATGACTTTGAAAAAAAAACTACATTTTTTTCTTATTAAAGGCTAAATAAACCAAAATATTGTTGTTAATTTTTGACTTTGCAACTTTACAAATGGCACCCCATGGTTTTGTGTTGGCAGAGAAGATTTGGTATTTTCCACGAGCCCAACCCACAACTTCAACTTTGTCGTTCAACCCAAAAATGGGAAATAAACAGGTGTCCCAACAGTTTAGGACTTATTGCCAGGAAGTAAACTGACCGAGCTGTAAAGTGTAAAAAGCTGAACGTTCACCTGGCTGTAAGCTGCATTCTCCTTCAGATGGACGTCAATGCACTTGGTAATTTGAAGAAGCCAGCTCCACTGAGTCTGCAGAGTGTCCCTGTAAGCCTGCAGAGATCCAAGAGAAGCAGAAAAATCAACACAAATACACAAAGTGTCGGACCTGTGAATGTGAGTCAATGTGTCCGCACCTCAATCTTGTCAGCGGCTGGGTGGTTGGTTTTCAAAAGGGTGTCCACTTTGGTTTTCAGTTTGTACAGATCCTTCTCCTTGTCTTCTAGAGCACTCATCAGTCTCTGAACAGAGGAAGAGGGTCACTCATCACAACTGATCACAGGCGGATTAACTTCATTAAAGTCATTTGAGCCAACTGGCTCCCAGAATCTGTCAGGAACGGTAATCAATGGGACCGAGGCACTAACCGAGTAGCTCTCCTGCTTCTTGGGGATGTACTGCTCGACGTTTTTGTCTCCCCAGTCAAACATCAGCTCCTCCTCCTCCCTGTCGTTCACCCACATGATCTCACTGGAGATTTGCTGAAGTATCTGCTGGAGGTCTCGCAGCTGCCTGGTCCGGTCATGTGACATTTGCTAAAAAAGCAGAGAAGGGGATTAATGTAAAATAAATACAATGAAGACAAAAAATTACCATGAAAATATAAACATCATGAATGATTTTTTTTTACCTGAAGGTTGTCCCACTCCTGCGCCAGAGCATTAGAGTTCGCTTTGTCCCCTTTCTTTACCTAAAACAAGAAAATTGTGGGGTTTTTTTTTTTTCAAATTTATTTGCACGCTTTTTGTACAAGTTTAAAAATTAGGTTTGAGGTAAAAATCATGTTTAACATTTGAGATTTGATTTGGGGTGAAAAGTTTGGTCCGTTTTGACATTTTCACATGATAATTAGCTGATAATCTGCTCGTCCGATGCCACAGCTTGTCTATTTGTGACAACGATGCCACCTAAAATGAAATATCTGAACCCACCAGCTCGTCTCTGGCCCGGTCCATCTCCACGGATCTCTGGATGGAGCTGTGAAACTTCTGGTGGCTGATGAGCTGCTGGTCTATGGCTGCAGGATCGTCACCCCAGGGAGCTGTTTCTATCAGACGCTGGGGAAAAAAACGAACAAGAGTTAAATTCTGAAAGAAACAGGCTCAGTACTTCAGAATGAAACCCCTCTGATCATCGAGCCACAGCGCGCAGGTCAGACGGGTCGGTCAGAATGAAGCAATCCAGCAGCAGACTTCGTTTTATAACTCTTCTGGTCGAGCACCTTAGGGAGTCGACCGTAAAAAGAGGAAGAGCATTTTGTGTGTGAATGCTGAATGACTGCTGAAGAAGCTGAAACTGACTTGTTCCAGCTACAACGAGCAAAAAAGCCAAAAGTAACCAAAAAGCTACAATTCAAAGAAACAAAATGGCAGCTAAAAAACTAAATGTAGCATAAAATAGTGCAGGTTTGCTGAAGTAGATTTCAAAAAGGACAATGTTTTTGAAAGAATCAAAGAGACTTCTATGGGGGGAAATATTTGTTTTTTGTAACTTTTAACAGTTTTCAAAAAAAAATCACTTAATTTACAATCTCCTGAATGAGCCGAATGTTTTGAAGAAAAAGCTAAAATAGAAAATGGTATGCAGAAGTTAAATTGCAAAAACACAGGGAAAAGTGGAAAACAAGAAATAAAGTTTGAATCTGAATCACTCTACATATTCTCAGCAGATAATAACGCGTGCGTGCGTCCATACCTTTTGCTGTGCAATCCAAGCCATAGCATCATAGAAGCTCCTTCCAGGTTCCTCCCAGCCTCCAGAACTCCCTCCTCTGGCGCTCTTCCTCCTCTGTAGGGTGCTCACCATGGCCTTCTTGACCCCCTTCAGCTGGTCATTGTAAATGTCCACGCTGTCATTGGAAGAGAAAAACAAAAACGTCACGCTTGAGGTTTTTAATATTTATTGTCAGAACACCAAAACCAGTGTTTAATTTGAGCCGGATCCTGCTGGAACAAGATCTGGGAACCCTATTATTTTGTCAGCGTGCGTTCCGGTAACAGTTTGCTTGGATCCGGCAACTCTCAGACTTACTAATAGTAAAGTTATGAACAAACTAGGACTGCCTTGTCGTTTTGGGAGCCATGGTTGAACCGTGTTGCTCCCCTCTGCTGCTGTTTTTATGATGCTCTGGACCAGGGCTGGCCCAAGCCTCCATGGGGCCCTAAGCAAAATTTGGTTTGGGGCCCTCTATTTCTGCTAATAATAATTACTGCAATCAATAGTCAGATGATCAGATTATTCACCCACCTAACATAAACTCATTGCAACTCTGACAGCCCTGTTTACATTATCATATGTATATATCTAGTGCAGGGGTCAAACTCATTTTCATTTTGGGGCCACATCAAGCTCATGAATGTCCTCAAAAGACCGGACATGGCAGAATGTATTGATAAAACTACCTCTTAAACTGGTAAAATATAACTTTCTCTGCATTCGATGACTACTTAGAGTAATTTGGCATTATAAACATAAAACCTGATTTGACTGATAAAGTAATTCTGAAACGCACAACTGTTATTTTGAAGTTCTGTTTCTGTGGCCCTCTAGAGCAGTGATCCTCACTATTTTTTTCAAAAGAGCCATATTGACAGATCAAAGTGAAGGGATGCAGATGGAGAGACGTGCGCAGCCAGTAGCTGATCAATCTGGAATTAACAGGACTTTTTTTTTTTTTACATCTTTTGACCGGCGGGTCAGCGGATGCGTGCGGCCAGTGGTGATCAGCTGATCCATGTGAAGCTTAACAGGACTTTTTTTTCTTTTTTACTCTACCGGACGATCGGACCTGCCTCCTCCTCAACAAGTAGATTAACACAATATTATTCATAAGACCGCATCCGTGCTGGCAGACATCTTTAACACCTCACTTACCCTGGAGACAGTTCCCACCTGCCTGAAGACTGCCACCATCATCCCAGTCCCAAAAAGCTCTACAGTGACTGGTCTGAATGACTATCGGCCAGTGGCCCTCACCCCGATAGTCGCTAAATGCTTCGAAAAACTGGTCATGACTCACATCAAAACAACCATCAACATCAACGAGGACCCTCATCAGTACGCATACCGTGAGAACCGATCAACAGAGGATGCAATCTCCTCTGTGGTCCACACTGCACTCAACCACCTGGAGCAGAAAAACTCTTACGTCCGTATGCTCTTTGTAGACTTCACATCCGCCTTCAACACCATGATCCCCCAAACCCTGATGGACAAACTATCCACACTAGGACTAAGCCCCTCCATCTGCAACTGGGTACTAGACTTTTTAACAAACAGACCACAGTTAGTGAGGATCCACAACCTCTCCTCCTCCACCATAACCCTCAGCACTGGCTCTCCTCAGGGATGTGTGTTGAGCCCCCTTCTGTTTACTCTGCTCACATATGATTGTGCAGCTACCCATCCAGGCTGTCACATTGTAAAGTTTGCAGATGATACAGCGGTGGTGGGATGCATCACAAACAATGATGAGTCCAGCTACAGGCAAGAGGTGGAACACCTGGAGAGCTGGTGCAGAGAGAATAACCTTCACATCAATGTGAAGAAGACAAAGGAGATGATTGTGGACTTCAGAAGGAACAAAAACACCTACACCCCCCTGAACATAAGAGGATCTGCGGTGGAAGTGGTCTCCAGCTACAAGTACTTGGGTGTACACATGAATGACAACCTCAGCTGGAGCAACAACACCACCAGCCTGATCAAGAAAGCTCATCAGAGACTCTACTTCCTCAGACGGCTGAAGCGAGCTGGTCTGGGAAGCTCAGTCCTCACCTCCTTCTACAGGTGTGCAGTGGAGAGCATCCTGTGCTCGAGCATCAATGTGTGGCATGGAGGCTGCACAGCTGCAGAAAGAAAAGCTTTGCAGAGAGTGGTGAAGGCTGCACAGAAATCTGTTGGAATCAGCCTCCCCACCATCACAGACATCTACACCTCCAGATGCAGGAAGAGGGCCACCTGCATCATGAAGGACCCCACTCACCCAGCACACACACTTTTTGCCCCACTCCCCTCAGGAAGGAGGTTAAGGAGCATTAAGTGTAGAACCACTAGACTGAGGAACAGCTTCTACCCTGAGGCTGTTAGACTCATGAATCTCTAACCAGAATAATCACTGTGAAAAACCATATCATGTTGCTGCTGATCTGTTTCATGTTGCTGCTGATCTGTTTCAATGTTGATGTGTTCATGCGTGCACATCTGCTCACAGACTCATGTTCATGTTTGTGCTGATGTTCAATGTTTTATGTTATGAGTGCTTAGTGTATATTTAGTTGATGTTTTTCTTAGTTCATATCTTAGATGTTATTACTGTTTTTCTTAGACATTTTATTGTTGGATGTAACTGGGACCCCGTGTACATAATTTCGCTCCACCACATGTACCACATGAGGTGCGAATGACAATAAAGTAACTCTGACTCTGACTCTGACTATGATCAAAGAAGCCCGAGCCAACATGCGCAAGTATTGCGCAATGCGCCAGCATGTTTTAAAAATGTATTGGCTGTATTGGTGTATTGTAACCTGTCACGAGAGCCACCAATAAAGCATGGCGAGCCGCGCAATGAGTATCCCTGCTCTAGGGTGTAGAGAGACACAGAAATGGTTATGGCGGGCTGGATTTGGTCCAAATATGTTAAGTGATATGTTAGGTGTACATGTATTGTAACATGCCTATGTACTGTGTTGTGTCTATGTGCTGCACGTAATGTAGTGTGCTGACCAACAGCAATTCTAAATGAAGACGTATATGAGGTTTCATTAGTGCCAAAAATATGTTTATGTGTCTTAACTTATCTACTTACATATCACTTAAGATATCACCTAACATATCACTTAACATATCACCTTTCATATCACTTAACATATCACATTATATGACTTAATACTGTATATCACCTTACATATCACTTAACATGTCACCTTATATGTTAATTAACATATTACATTGTATATCACTTAACATATCATCTTACACATCGCCTTGCATATCACTTAACATGTCACCTTGTATGTTACGTAACATATTACCTTATATATCACTTAACATATCATCTTACACATCAC